AACCCTCATCTCTTCCTCATCGACTTCCTGAGTGCTGTAATTTCCAACATCTAAGTCCAACATCAAGACTAAGGGGTTGTTTACTTGCGGCTTAATTAGGCTTATTGGTCTATCTGGCTTATTCGTACAACTCATTTGGGTTGTTTACTTACGGCTTATTTGCACAAAAAATGGCTTAATCGTGCAGACAGAAATGGTGTGTTGTCCCCATTCAGCACAAAAAAAACCCCTACCTCTTATTTAAAGCATCGCCTCCTTCCCATATGAGACACCCCATCTTCGGCATTTTTATGATTTTTTGTTTTGATGTTCAAATAATTAATATTGGGGGATAAATCGGTCATTTATGTTATTTAAACTGTTGATTCAGATAAAAAAGCAAACAACAACATCCATTTATCCAGACAAATAAATTTATTCGGACATACAAATTTATCCATACAGGACTTAATAAATAATTTGGTAAACAGCCCCTAAGAGTTTGCATCTGGCTTTTTCTCTATCTTTCTATGGATGTGTGGATTTACTGTTTGGTAAAAATTTGATAGACTCTTAGCGATTCCAAAAGGCTGGGTATCGCTTAGAGGCATTTACTGTTTGGTTTGGGTTATTTTCAAGTCAATTTCATGAAAACATATATTCGGTTTGTGATTTCCCCCACCATGTTTGTGATTTATAGTATATGTATAATTTGTAAAAGGTTACTCATAGGCGATTTTATGATTTAATGCACATCAGGTGTTTGATTATTTATCTCAAAGAAAGAATTTTACTTGTCTCTTCATAGTAGAAATTGAAGTCTAAAGAAACTAGAAAAGTAGGCAAATGAAATAGAAACATCCCTTCATTTGTTACACAACATCAAGCAAATCACCTGAAATTGTTATTTCTAATAGTTTTAGCATTGCCAAATGCTTCAAGAACTGGATTTGATTGCAATCACAATGCTAGCATAAGCTTAATCAGGATTTGACTGCACTCCTTGATATATTAAAGGAATGAATTCTTTACTTTGAAAAGGCCTCCAAACTAGAACGTACAGAGAACGACCAACAACCATACACACATAATTGAATGAGAAATTCATGCCATACCTCATCATTTATTACGTCCTTGAAACTTGTCCTAGGAAAATTAACATCCCTGGCACACATAAAACTGTATAGAACAACCAACAACCATACCTTTTAATATAACCAATTTTGGAGTGTGTTTCGTGTATTGATGGTTCTTTTGTCTGTTTTTTATCTTAAGGTTATCTCAGATGCTAAATTCTTTATGTTTCTTTATCTTCAGGATGACATCTTCATCAATACCTAAAACAATATATTTCGAGGTGCATTACACATGTGTTTTTGTATTTTGGCCACTTGAATATGCTAATGAGTTGAGATTTTTTTATAAACTTTTGACATTGTGGAATATATTGATTTTGTTGCTTTTTTTAAAAATGAAACATACACGTTGTATGAAAACATTTGTATTCCTGGTAAGGGCTTAGAAAATGGTTTAAGAAAGCTTAAATGTAATGTGTATTTTAAGAGTTTTATTGAATATGGACTCAAAAGTAGGGAGATAATTGGTGTGTATTTAGATGGTTTTGCTGAAGACTTAACAGAGTACTTGAGACAAGATGATATTGCTAATGATAGTGATAGTTTATCTAGTGATAATGATGATGTTTCTGATGCTCTTTCTTTAGATTACATATCCGAAGGTGAAGATAAAATAATGGAATTTAGACAAAAAAATTGGGCGTGGTTTAATGACACAAGAATCTATTGGAGAAGAGTATGATAATGTGAGAGAAGAAGATTTGATGGCTTTTGAGCATGAAAAGTTTTTGAATGATCTTAATGGGGAGTTAAAAAGGGATAATATTGTTGAGACCAATATAAATAATGATGATAAAGAGCATGATCTCGCACAAGAAGGTGGAAAATATCCAATGCATAATCCAAAAACTCATTAGAAGATTATGAAACCTATACTATGTGAGATATATGAAAGCCCAACACAACTCAAAGAATGCATAACAAATTATGCATCAGCCAATGGTTACCAAATATGGTTCGAAAGGAATGACCACACTAAGTTATTAGCAAGATGTGGAAGGGAAGTTAGTGATGATCAGTCGAAATACCCTTGGAGATTATGGGCAACTTGGATGGCAAATGAGAGATCGTTCCAAGTGAAATCTCTTATGGATGAGTATATGTGTGCAAGAAATTTTAAATTTGGTTTGTTGATGAACTATAAGTTTATTGCTAAGAAGTTTGCCAGTCGATTGAGGGAAAATCCTGATATGAAGTTAGTGGACTTGCAATATGCTGTGATTACAAGTGTCTAGTGAGCATCAACCAATGTGCTAGGGCTAAGACACATGCGATTAGTGAATTTGAGAAAGATATGAAGAAACATTATGATAAACTTTGGGAGTACGGTGAAGAAATTAGAAGAACCAATCCTGGATCTTCAGTAAAAATGAGTGTTGAAGTCAACCCCGATGGGAAGACTTGCTTTCAAGGCTTCTATATATGTTTACAAGGATTGAAAGAAGGTTGGACTAGTGGTTGTAAAAGAGTAATTGGGCTTGATGGGTGCTTTTTAAAGACAATATGCAAAGGAGAGTGTTGGTCAAGATGCGCATAATCAAATATTCCCAATTGCCTGGGCTGTGGTGAATATTGAAAACAAAGAAAACTGGACGTGGTTTATTGACTTGTTGAAAGAAGACATATCTTTGAATGATGGTGCTAGTACGACTTTGATTTCAGATCAACATAATGTACATTTTGTTTTGCCATTTCTACATCTTTTTAAGTTTGTTTTTTATGCCTCTTATAATTGTTTTTAATAAAAAAAAACTTTTTGTTTCTTGAAACATGGGCTGATTGAGACTATCAAATATGTGCTCCCGGTAGTTAAACACAGACAATGTGCTAGACACATTTATGCAAATTTTAGAAAGAAGTTTAGTGGTGTACAATTTAGAAACCTTTTCTGGGCAGCCTCTAAAGCGTCATATGAACAACAATTTGAAGAAGTGATGTATGAAATCAAAGGCATTTACACTTATGAAACCGTTTTAAGTTGTTTTTAAGCTATTATAAGTTGTTTGTTATTGTTTTAAGTCGTTTTAAACCGTTTTAAGTTGTTTTGAAGTTGTTTTAGTTTCTTTAAGTTGTTAAAATGTGTTTAGGCTGTTAGAACTGTCCTTTTATGCTTTTTGTTAACTGCTTTGATTTTTTTCCATGTGAAATTAAAGTGGCCAACCTTGATGCATATTTGTACCTTATGGAGAAAAAACCTCATACTTGGTCACGTGCATTTTTTGAGACGCATAGAGCCTGTGATGCTGTTGAAAATAGCATTGGTGAGTGTTTTAACTCACTATTGGTAAATGCTAGAAGAAAGTCAATCCTTACACTGCTTGAAACTATTAGAGTGATAATGATTGAAAGAATGGATAAAATGAGCGAGAGATCTGGGAAATGGGTGGATGATATATGCCCTGCTATTAGGAGGAAGATTGAGCACTTAAAGGAACAACATAGGTACTATTTTGTCACTTACATACTTTAGTACCAATTGTTCATAAACTCACTAACTTCTCATTTCCATGTAGATTTTGGCATGTACTTCCATGTGGGGGTGATATTTTTTAGGTTAAAAGTGGGTTAGATGTTTTCATAGTTGATGTAGATGAAATATCATGTACTTGTAGGATGTGGCAACTATCGGGTTTGCCTTGTGTCCATGCTATGGTTTCGATTTTGTACGTACAACAAGATTCCAGAAAGTTATGTTCCAAATTGTTTCAGAAAAAACATGTTTATTCAGTCATACAATCATTATTTAAGACCTTTAAACAGAATCAAAATGTGGCCGAAAACCAATCACATCAGCCCCTTGCCGCCGTTGCCAAGAAGATTTCCTGGAAGGCCAAAACTTAAAAGAAGAAGGGATGTAGTGGAAAGATTATTGACTTCAATAGGTTAGATTGGAAGACAAGGAAGAAGAATGACATGTACGAAGTGTAATGAAGCAGGTCATAACAGTAGATCATGTAAGAATGAGAAAAAAAAATGCACCATTGAAAGATGTTAGACCACCAGGCAGACCTAGGACTAATTTTTGTAGACAAAGCAATGAAGGGGGTACACGAGACGGAAACGGGGTCACAAAGGGGTGTTAAAAAGATAATGTGAAATCTTTGAGTTTCATACTAATTTTATATATCAATTGCATACTAATTTTTCACTAATTTGAACAAGAACCATCTCAAGTGGAATCACGACCAAAGCTCATCCTGAAAAAAAGGAGGTCAAGTGAAATGATAACTTTGAACAACCTACGGAAAAATACTGTTGAGAAAGATGGAGAAGGTAGTAATTGTGACAAAGCGGTTCCACTTGATTAAATATCATTGTTAGACGAATGTGAATAGGATGTGTTTTTTTTCCTGAAAAGATGTTCCACTTGTTTAGTTTTTGACATTACATAGTAAGCCATGAAATTTTCGATGAAGTCGATGAACGAATGGTTTTTATGAATATTTTTATTCGTGAAATTGTGATCTTTTGTAAACATGTTTAATGGATAAAAAAAAATTAAAATTAAAAGTACAATGTTAAACTAGAAATTGGTGATGTTTTAATAAAATAATTTTAAAAGTATAATTTATATAATAAGAAATGTCATGTTACCACTATCGTACATGTGGACAACCTATATGGACGATTAAGTGACAAAGAAACCTTATATAATGAGTAGATTTAATTTAAAAGATTACCTAATATTATAACGAATAATTTTTTAATAGTATGATGTCTTAATAAAAAATATTTTAAAAATATATTATTATAATTAAAAAAAAACTAAAAGTAAAAAGGTTATAATAATTTTTTTTACCCGTAAACCAATACTACATTGACCAAATCCATTAATTTGTTCATTTTTATATACCTTACCCAAATACAAAGGAAGGCTCTGTTAAATGGCTGCCTGAACTCGCATCACACTCCACGAACCACCGACAAACCTTTTAAAGCCTCAAGAACATTATCCCCAATCCATTCAGCCCAAATGCAGACTTCCTCATCTTCTTCTTCCCTGTAAGTTCCTTCTTCCTCCAATCGCTTTCATGCTTATTTATCTGGTATTGAAAAATTTCCTCTTCTCGATTGTTGGCTGTTTCAGATGTGCTATCGTTCCTGTAGATTGCATCTTCAATGGTTCAAATCAGCTAGCTTATCCTTGCAGTTTCAATTTAGGGTTATTAAGAGGTTTGTGTGAGTTTCCTCTCATTCGAATGGAGTTGTGGTTGTCAGATATACATAACCTAGCTAGGATCATTGTAGATTAAGAGTTCAAATCAGCTTTGTAATCAAAAGGCCTCCATAAATTTGGTTTCCAGTATTTTTCAAAAGTTAAGCAGTGGATTTCTGACGTCTAGATGCAATTGCAACTATCTACAAATCAATAAAAGGATTATCATCATCGCTCCTTCTTAGTCAACACCTTCTATCATTCCCATACAATACTACTTGCCTCCATAGTTTCCACTGTTTTTCTCTTATTCATTTTGAAGGAAGGGGTACTGGACTAGAAAGATAATTGATCTGTACATTATAACTTATTGGAAATTCTTACAGGAAGCAGAAAGCTCAAGATTTCTAGGTTGAAGGCTGGCTTTTGGGAATCCATTAGATCAGGGTAAGTGCAACTATCTGTTGTTCTTTAGACAAGAGCTGCCTGTTATTCAATTAAGTAACAAAATAGTTACAAAATCTTGATGCATATTCAGTAAAACTTTCTTGAACTGAAACAAATGTGCTGAAGGAGAAACCCACTAAATGTTGCTCACACCAATCATTCCTAAGCACACATGGAAAATGCACTAGTTTGAACCAAACCAAACAAAACCACTAAATCACATGCAGAGGTAGGGTCTTGTTACTTTCGGGTAGGATGTACAAAGATCTTTTCTCTAGCCAAGCGGTAGAGAGGCTGTTACTGTGAAGACCCCCGGCTTGTAAATCTCATGTACGAATCTGTAACGGAGATTCTTTTTGTAAGGGAGAAAATCACTTATTTTGGCTTTTTTACCCCATTAACAAACAAATAAAAGAAATAACAAGCAACAGGTGGGAGTTTGTACAAAGTAGCAGGGACAATGTGCGGAAACTAGGTTAAAACAAAGAGGGAAACACAAAGTCTAGTACTTATAACTGCTAGAGGCAAATGAAAGCAAGAAAATGTACTAGTTTCACAACCTAAATCCTGAAAGTAATTTCTGCACAACTAAGAAAAATGGAGCAAAGCCTCCTTATATATATCCATAGAAAAAGGAGGGAGGTAATTACCATATGACAGTCATACCATATTGACAAATGATAGCTTAAGGATGTGGCATGTGACCATCTATATCAAACATTATTGCATGAGTTTTGTTCCACCCTTTCTTATTTGTTGGGCCGCTAGTGGGGACATAATCCCTTCAAATTCTGGTTCCGGCCCGTCACGCCCGACCCCGTGTACGGAGGATTCTTTCGAGATGAAAGTCTTAATGGAACCTTTTTCCGAAACGGAAACGACGGGCACGTCAGCTCGTTCTTTGATCCCAAGGGATGATGAAGCTACCCCATCCGGTCAATCCTCTTGGGCTGGTTTGTGGATCGATAAATTGATAAACCATGGTGAGGTGGGGTCTTCAATCCCAAGGGTGGCGGACGATGAAGCCCACCAAGGAGCTGTTGTTCAAAATACAAGCGTAGAGTCATCAATGCGAAATCACATTGTACTACTTGAGCAGAACAATAGCCCTAGATGTAAAAAATACAGTATAATTCCTAGGATAGTGGCAAGGAGTGCACTTGTGGAACGGATAAAAGTTGAGAAAGAAATCTGTTCAACAAGCAGACAATTGAAAGTAAGGAATTCAACCTTGAGGGCCAGCTCGACTGGCAAATAAAGGCCAAGCCCTGGGGTTCCTCCCCATAGGTTGTCAGTTCGAGTCTTCTTAGGGCCACTGTGGATTTTCCTGGTTGTTATCTTTAGGGTCCATGGGATAGTCGAGATGCGCCTAAGCTGACTCGGAAATCCATGGTTAAAAAAGGTAAGGGATTTGGAACCTCCTTGGTGAGGAAGAGTGAACAAAGTAGTATAAAAATGGTAAGAAGGCTATTGTGCTAGATGCGAGGTCTCATAAGAAATAGAAGTTAAAGGGAGCTGCTTCATTCGACAATGATGCTTGCATAGCGAGCTCATATGTTAGCTAAACAACCACTTACTGATTGACCAGTATAGGTAGAGGATGGCTAAGGGGGATAATTGCAGAGATATCATCCATCAAGGGGTGGGATCATCACACAACCATGAGAATTCTAGTTAAATTACATTTATATTCTTTTGCTTTTCCCCATTTGATCTTATTCATTCATGAATACAGCTGATACAAGATACCACTTAAACAGAAAATCAGACTTGGAATGCAAAAGAGAAAGAATGTTATTAGACTGCACCTTTAGATCTTCGAGATAATTTTAAATTAGCAATGGTCCAAAGCCAACTATTGTAGTGGGTCATTGTCTTATATATGTATATAGAATGATTCAACCCTAGCTCTTTGCACATCACTTATTCTTTTACTTGTTCTTTGCTTCCCCTTTCTTATGAGGTTACCATTTATAATTATGCATGTCTACATAAACACTCATCTTGTCCCAACCAACTACATTTAATCGTTGCAGGTTGATAAAGAACAACTCCACACAGGTTATTGAACCACTTTCTAGTTCCCAAGAAGAGGAAGAACCTCTTCCGGAGGAATTTGTACTTGTTGAAAAAACCCTGCCAGATGGAACAGTTGAACAGATTATTTTTTCTTCAGGTGGAGATGTCGACGTATATGATCTCCAAGCCTTGTGTGATAAGGTAATTGTTTTGCATGTGGATCGCAGATGTGGATTGCTACTTGTTATTGGTCAGTTTTGTATCATCTATAGATACTAGGGTATGACACCTAGTAGGAGAGTTAACCCATTATTTCCCACTCGAAAGTAGGTTTTTTTTTTTTTTTTGGGGGGGGGGGGAGGGGTTTGTAATATGCAGATCTGTCATCCACCCCAAAGGTTAGATTGGCTGTTCCCATGTGAGAGCAAAGGTAAGAAGTACAAAGAGTAGTAGAAAGAAAGCAACAGAAAGAGAAGTAGTAAGAAGGTACAATGAAACAAAGAAAATGTGAGGAAAAACACACAGGATTTGAAGTTGAAACTCATCTTTGCTATAGCATTTTTTACTACTAGCATCAACTAGATTCTTTTACAATAGTTAATTCCACTTATCATCTCAATCTGTTGAATTTCATCAGATTCTGGTTGGTTTTTTCTTCTTGTAAAAAGTAAAATGCTTTCACGGTTTTAAAAGGTTGGGTGGCCCAGAAGGCCGCTATCAAAGCTAGCTGCTGCACTCAGAAATAGCTACATGGTAGCAACGTTGCATTCGGTAAAGAAACCAGCTGGAGAAGGTATATTTTCCTTGAAATTTGCTCCATCAAATTGTGTATTTGGTTATTTATATTAATGACAAATCATAGCGTACTTTGGGAAGTTACTTCACAGAAGTGAACAATAACAAGAAGCTCATAGGCATGGCTCGTGCTACATCGGATCATGCATTCAATGCAACAATATGGGATGTCCTTGTAGATCCTAGCTACCAGGTATAGCTATTTACTTATGCAATAGGTAAGCATGATTCTGTTTTAACCATGGGTGCCTGGGTCAGCTTGCTCTCACCTCAACTAGCCAGGAAAACCTCCAGTGGCTCTGAGCCCTGAGGGTGAGGGGACTTGAACTGGTGATGGCTGGGGAGTAAACCCAAGGCTTGACTAATCCCATATACAAACAAGTTGTCATTGGCTAGCAAAGATTGACACTATATCCACAAAGCTTAGCTCGGTGGTAATACCATGTGTCAACAAGAATGATAGTTCATTCTACTTCCAGTTTTGATTCCCATTGGTGCAAAAACCCGTTGTGGCCACACCAACCTCCCATAGGGAGGGCTTTGCCAGTTCTAGGACAGTGTGGCCGTGGGCTAGACCTCATGAAGTAGTGGCGTCTTCAGGTTGTTGATACCACTTACAAAATCAAAAGTTACACTACAAGCCAGACTGTTCTGAGAAACTCAGCACTATAACTTGGTTACCCTTTTTTACTCTATGACTTTACTGAATACATGTCCTATGATGATATATGTTGAATTTATAATGGTTACCCTGGTGAATACTATGATCCAGGTTGTGCTTATAAGTTAATGGGACAACTAGCTTTTAATTGTTGGACCCTTCAAGAATTCTAGTGGCATAATGTTTTTTAAAAATCTTTAGATTTGTATCTTGCAGCAACATGACATATTTATTAGACCTATAAGTTGTAACCAAAAAATTCGACTACTGATCTTTGAATTTGACATGTAAAAATATCCTAATTCAAATCCATGTCAGTCTGACATTAATCAATACAAAATTTAATATAGTTATGTTCAGTTTAATCACCCATGCTCTACTTTCGATTGGGGTATTTGAAGTGCATGGTAGTTTAGGGGGGTTGTTGAAGGTAGGTTAATTGGGTGGGGTTATTTTCTTGTGATAATAGGGGCAAGGTCTTGGAAAGGCTCTAATTGAGAAGATTATAAGAGCTCTACTTCAAAGGGATATTGGCAACATAACACTATTTGCAGACAGTAAAGGTAACTTGTCTTTTAATCCTCTTTTAGTTTTTTTTTTTTGAAGTATATAATATTTATATACGGCAAATGCAACAAATAAACTCACACACCCTTCTCACCTTTGGTGAGGTTTGAACCCTTGATCTCCTAAAAGGCCAAGGACTACGATACCACTAGGCCAAAGGCCCTTTGGTATCCTCTTTTAGTTTTAATGGTGTATCTAAACTAAACAGATGATGTTTTTTTGTGATTGCAGTTGTGGACTTTTATAGGAATCTAGGATTTGAACCCGACCCAGAGGGCATCAAAGGTATGTTTTGGTACCCAAGATTTTAGCCAGATTGAGGGACAATCACCCATGAGATTTTATACGTATGGTACTTTTTATGTGTAGCGTTTCTTGGTCCTTTCTATAGGTATGATGTTGATGATGTAAAATATATACACCGATTAATAGGTCTTACTTTTGTTGTAACATAACAAATTTGAACTTACTGAGATGCAAAATCCATATTTATTCCACCATATACAAAGGTGTACGTGTCGCAAGCAGTATTGCTTTAGCTTCTCCTCGATTATTGTCTCCTTTAACATTTGTATTGTTACTAAAAGGATCATTGGTTTAGTGGTATCTTGATGGGTTACGGGTAGATCACAACCTCCCTAGTGGGCAAGCATCACCAGAAGTGTGTGTGAGTTTTACGGTATGTAAATATGATTGTGTATGACGAATAAGGGAATAATATCATATTATTTACATGGCCTGGGGGAAAAAGGATTATATAACCAAAAGATGCAGCTGCTCTTGGCTACCTAAACTTGTTCATAGTCATAATCAGCTACAAATTCTATTTAGAGCAGGTACACATCATTCATCATCATCCAAGTAATTTTTTTATTTATGTTCTTGAAAGGTAAGGAAAGGTATTCTTTCTTGTTCTTAGATAGGAGAGAAAAGAAAGGAAAGATGTTATTTTTACAAATATATCCTTTAAAATATATCATTTTTAACGAAAGGTTGGGTATCTTTGTAATTTTAATATTTTTTTATAGGGTTTAAATCTTTTTCCTTCCCTTTCCTTCTGCATCTACGTTGTGTTCTCAAAACTTTTTTTACGAAGGAAAGGAAAGGAAACTGAGGGAAAGTAGAAAAATAGAAGAAATTTTTTGGAAGGAAACTTGTTATCATTTTTCTTTCGTTTACTTTCCTTTCTCTTTTAAAGAAGTTTCGAAAACATGACTTATTGGATGCAAAGGTTATTTGTCATTCTAAAACAAAATTATAAATTATGTTACATTTGTCACGAAATGGAATTCAAATCCTTCACATATGCTAAGAAATGATCAGATCCCTCAACCATGGAATTTGGTGGAATCCTTCCGCAAACCAAACATCATTAAGGCATTTAGTCAAAGAAATTTGTCATTCCAATTCCATCAAATTTCTTTGAATTCCATGAACCAAACACCCCATCGACAATTACAAAGGAAAACTATTAGAAGTCCTACTTTGAACGTTAAATATTATTTGGTACATGGGATAGAACAAGACAGACAAATACTTGTCACCCCACGTTTGATGCCACATTTATATTGTAACAGGATATGATCGAGTGGGACAAAGTGCAAAAATTTTGTCCCACCAAAATAGGTGGAACAAAAATTAAGAAAAATGAGATAAGATTGAAAAATTACTAAACTAACAATGTCAAATTAAAACCTAATTGCGCAATTCTTTCGTCTGCCTACCTTACTCTCACCCAGTTTCATATACCGAGTTTCATCTTCGTAATAACTTAGATAATCTGACTAGGCTTAACACTGATAACGAGGGCATCTCCTTATGAATCAGACTATAGTTAGTGTGTGAGAGAGAAAGAATTCTTTGTCATACGATCAATTCTAATCAATGTTTGAAATGTTGTGAGGCGTGGCATGGTGCTCAAGCTTTAGAAGCCATAGCGAGGTTGTGGCATTTTGACTTATGACGACATATCTTTACATCATACAAATTATTATACATGTGAACATATATTTCCTATTATTATTCAGTAAGTCAATGATATTAAATAATTTAAATTAGATCATACAGTAAAAATTAACAAATAACACATTAAAAAGGTAAGAAAAGTTTGATTTTTGCGTTATGAGAACCGTGCATTAGGTCATGGCATGCCACATGCATAACATGGCATGAGACACAAGCCTTAAGCCATGGTGCGCCATGACGGCTGTTGCATCTCACTTTTTAGAACATTGACTCTTTTACATTTCCACTTGCATTATATTCGAATAGTTTACCAAACACCAACCATGTAAGTGTTTATTAAGTTACTTACCTTACCGGGTTAGTATGATAATAATCGAGAATCTACCCAGTAAGTGACGATAATGGAGACTTTTACCTAGTTGGCCTTTAATAGGTAAGAGACGCTTACTAACAACCTCACTATATCATTTTGATGATCGGGAATTTTACCTAGTAATTGCTTATTAAGTTAACGTTGGTAAACAACACTAAATAATACAAACAAAATGTTTTTATTAGGACACGAAGGAGATATTAAACTCATTTATTTTCAGTTGCTTTTATCATCGTATTGCATTGTGCCAATACTGATTACTCAGCTAGTTATCCATCATAACTAAAGAAAAAAAATTAAATAGAGGTTGTATACGTTAAAATTTTTTTTGAATGTTAGTTTATTTGTATAATATATGAAAAAGTTGAATGAAAATTAAAATAAACCCTATATGTGGATAAATATTAACAAGTTTAAGGCAGTGATTGCCTGATTGGTGTGCAAGCGATATAGAACAAGACTAGATCAAACAAGGCTAGACTCAGACATGACTAAATGTTTGTCTAGCTTATGGTACGACTAAAACAACATTGGACAAAACTGTTAAGATGACATATTACTCTTAAATGTCATTTAAATAACTTTTTATTAGCCAAAACACTTTTCTTCTTAGAAATCCCGATCTTAGGAGGAGACCGCACTTGAGGTTGTCATACCACTTTCATCTGATATCTAGTTTGAATTCTAAGGCCCTCTTTATGCTCTCAAAGACCTGCTTTTAGATAACTGATATTCCATAGGCCGAAACGAAGCGACCAAGCACTCCCGCCCCCAAAAGCGGAGGCCGAAGAACCACCAGGTTGTCGAGGACACGTCAGAAGAGGAGGCCGGCGGCCTCTAAGTTTACCATGCTCGACCTTTTTTCCGAAACAGAAATGATGGGCACGTCAGCTCGTTCTTCGATCCCAAGGGACGATGAAGCTAGCCCAAGCTTGTGTTTTGAACAACAGCTCCTTGGTGGGCTTCATCGTCCGCCATCAAGAGCTACAACTATATCTCTCGAAAGGTGTCTTAGCTCCACAGATAGAAACTGCCGACTATTTCTTTTTTAAATTATGATTTTATAATATATATATATATATATAATCTCTCGAAAGGTGTCTTAGCTCCACAGATAGAAACTGCCGACTATTTCTTTTTTAAATTATGATTTTATAATATATATATATATATATATACATGCACATGTGTACATTAAAAAACTATGTATAATTTTATACTATAATTTATATACACTATTTAAAATTGAATATATATATATATATATATATATATATTATAATTTAAAAGGGTCAAATGCATGGAATACAACATAGTTTCATAAGTTTTTTTTACTATAACAATGTACTTTCAAACTATTTTTTTATTAGAGTATCATACTTTGAAAAATCTACCCATTGTAGCAATGAGTAGCTTGTTACCTTTTAAACCGGTTAAACTTTTACCTTTTGTTGCTTACTTGGCTTAAATGAGGTGATGTGAATGACATCATTTTGATGACATGGATAAAATAAAAGAAAACTTTTTTCAAATTATTTTTAATGATTTTCATTTTTCCTTGCAACGATTTAAAAGAACATTTCATTTTTTTTTAACTTTTTCTTATTAAATTCACGTAAATTAAATATTGTAGAATAAAATATTTTTTAAATAAATATGATATATCATTTTTAAGATAACTATTTTGTTTGTAAAAAGAAGGTAACACTTATTTTATTTTGTTCGAAAAATATATATCTTTTAACGTGTTTTTGGAATGTTAGGGGCCGTTTGGTTCGCGGAATTCGAAGGAATTTGATGGAATTGGAATGATAAATTCCTTTGACCAAATTCTATTCCTTTGTTTGGTTAATATCTTGAAATGGATGGAATCCTTCAAATTCCAATGAATTTCACAAGTTAAGGAATTCATCATTCCTTAGCATAATGGAAGGAATTGAATTCCATCAA